TTCCCAGGCTCTATGTCTGTTTTTCCCAAACTCCCCATTCTGTTAAGCCAAGGTTTGTAGGCCAATTATGTCCGTGTAGGTGTAGCCATCAGATGGTTGCAGAAGGACGGATATTAGTTTAAGCTGGTGAATGGTTGAACCTCAGCCCCAATCTGACATCTTTGCTTCACTTCAAAGCAATCAGATGAGCTTCAAGCTGATGGACCAAGGAGACTTTTTTTTTTTTTAAATCATTCTCAACTTTAATTAACTTGTGAACAAAATGAACACTGAATGATCTGAAGATTGCATGTATTTGTGGACACGGGATGTGAAGAACATAAAGAGAGATATCTCCCCACACTTTTCCCAGTTGTACTTTCAGCTTTTAGGCTTTTGTATCAGTGGCTGATATTGGGGGCAACAAAGTTGCTTCGCACACACCTGTCCTTCACGCCGGAAAAAAAGTGATGATGAACAGACTCGCCAACTAGGGAAATAAGTCGCTCACCAGGAAATGGCAGTAATCCAGACACTCCAAACTCTGCTCACAAAGAAATAAACAAAGACATTATTATAAAGCCCTCTTTATCCCTCAATGACTATTCCCATAAATGCTTTAATCACCAATCCCTTGGGGCTCAGCTCTTTGCGTTTGTGTGGGTGGATGTGTGTGACCGTCCTGTGATGTCCGACTGCTCTCAGCTCCTCACAGATGGGTCTATTTAGCTGCCAGGCGCCTGTAATTTACCAACACTTATTTCCCCCTCCCCTCCGTCAATCCCTTTTTCTTCCTCTTTCTTGTGTTGGGTTCTTTTAATTGAATGGAGTGTTGCTTATCACAATGGCTATCAAAGTTGTGCGTGCAGAGTGGTTCAGGCTTTATAATTTGTGTTTTCTTTAAATGTTTAAGTTGCCTCTTGACTTTGGTGTGTGTCTTCTACTTCTTCTTCTTCTTCTTTAGACTGTTGGGCTTCTGGTGGAAGGCAGTTGGATCAAGAAGGAGCCGGTTTTGTTTGAGCTCCAACTCATACGCAGTGGAGCCTGGGTAGATTAAAAGCATCTGAATGTTTTGAGCTCGAAATGTGTGTGCGGATTTGTTTTACTGCTAGGGACTCTGAAGGGAAATGCATCAAATTTTTGATGTGATGGTGAGCACTCACATCAGATTAACTTCAGACATTTAATCTCAGCTCAGACTCTGGTTGTCGGATGGTTGCTTGCTGTTTTATTCACTTTAGACTGAGATTGTCTTCATTATAAGACGTCTTGATTTATTTTGTCTAACATCGAACTTGCCCATTCTGTTCCTCGTCTCTCATTTCCTGTTGTTACACCGAACTCCGAATTTTGATTCCACCCTTGTTTTTTTATTTTTTTTTTATTTGAAAGAATAGGGGGCTGCACAGTGGCACAGTTGGTAGAGCTGTTGCCGTGCAGCAAGAAGGTTCTGGGTTCGATTCCTGGCCCCGGTCTCTCTGCATGGAGTTTGCATGTTCTCCCTGTGCATGCGTGGGTTTTCTGCAGGTACTCCGGTTTCTTCCCATAGTCCAAAAACATGTCAGGTTAATTGGCCTCTCCAAATTGCCCCTAGGTGTGAGTGTGTGTATGCATGGTTGTTTGTCTCTGTGTTGCCCTGCGACAGACTGATGACCTGTCCAGGGTGAACCCCGCCTCTCACCCAGAACGTTAGCTGGAGATAGGCACCAGCAACCCTCCAGACCCCACTAAGAGACAAGGGTGTAAAGAAAATGAATGGATGGACTAGTTCAGGACTTTTGAGCAGAGGTTTTTTAAAAGGTTGGAAGCAGCCAATATCCCACCTGTCAGAGGTTAACCTTCATATCATTTTCATTTTCTATAAGTCCATATTAGTTGGACACAGAGGTTAAAGCTCCCTTCTTCTCCAGGTTCATCTGAGAAGGACCAAGAACAAAATGGACTTATGCTGCTGTAAAACAAATTCATTTCCAAGTTTCTTTTAGAAACTTTGAAATCAACACAGCATTTCCTTGTGTTTTTTTTTTTTTGCGTAAAAATACATATTTTCATGGATTCTGTATACTATGCAATTAGTTAGTTAACTTGCAGCAGACATTAGTATGCAATTTTTAAAGGCAGCGACTAAATACTCCAAAACACATAACAATTAGACCATATAATACCTGTTGAGAACTTTGAACAAAGAAATTACTTTCATTTGTATGTTTATTAGCATGGATGCTCTTCTACTCAAACAACTACTTGAATAATCACAACCCATTCATTCTCCTGCTACATTATAAAATAATCTGATGTAAACTCCAAAATGTTAAGTTTGACTGACCTAAAAACAATTTCTATTGTTATCATGTTATTTTTTTTTTTATATCTTTAGAGTTAGTCATCAAAAGTACGTTGTAGTTTATATATATTGGCTTTATAAGTAGCCAGTTCCTCTTCTCCTTCCTCCTCCTTCCTCTCCTGATTGTGAGGATCCATTAGAGTACACATAGCATAAAAACAAGACTCAGAACAAGGGTAATAATCTGATATCTTGGGAATCTGCTCAGTTTTCCATTGGTTGGGAGAAAGATTGATTGGTGTATACTTAAGCTCCTGCAGGTGCATGCATATGTGCATGCACATAATAGATTTAGGAGATTTGCCAGCTGTATGTGGAAGTGTGCCCATCGCTGTGAAGCCTCAGTCTTATGACAATGACAGGAGCTCAGAGCAAAGATGGTGGTCCTCTCTCTTCTCTCCACCGCAGACCAGAACTCGTCCAGATGGTGTCTGAGAGGTTCTGTGTGCGCAGAAGAAAATTCATTTGTCCTGCACTTGTATGGATCGTACAGCTAAAGTCACTGAAACCGCATTGGTTTATTTTCCCTTTTCTCCCTTTTTTTTTCTTTATGGAGTAGAAATGTTCTCTGTGTGTGCGTGTGTGCGCGAGTGCGGATAGAAATGTTTTCCTGTTCATGCAAGAAGTGTTCTCAATTACAGCCTTAGTCAGAAGTGGAAACAGATGGTAGCAGATGACAGGAGACAAAGTAGCTCTGTCCTACCTACCCCTTCTCCTCTCTCTCCCTTCTTCTCCAGGTTTCTCTCATTGTGTCTCGGTCGTTCAAGTTGCTTCTGCTTCTTCTTAAGCTCTTAATCAGCGTTCTAGAAAGACGCGTGCCTTCTAGAAAAAAAAACAAAAAAAACACGCTAGGTCTGAGCAAATGTGGAGCACGGTCACAGACATTCCTCCAGCTATCCTGACTCAGATAATCGCTCATATTCATGCAGACATGAAAACAGAACACACGGCCTCAGTGTTGGTTTACTCTAAACCACAGTTCAAGGAGCCTGGGCCAAGTTTTCCCTGCAGCAGCGACTGAATTACATTGTCTCTGTGTATTGAGCAATGATAAACAAGATTACAGCCGAGTGGTGCCTTTGTCAGGCGAGTCGTGAGCGGCTGAATGTACGTCTGCTGTGCTTCAGCTGCATCGGCTTTGATTAGAGATTTATATTTCAGTTGAAGAGATTTCACTTCAGCACATATTTTCCTCTGCAGCGCTCCCACTTGTGCTCCTCCTCTCTCCGTCTCCTCATCGCTTGCACATTTACTGAATCTTCCAAACCATCTTTTGTCATACTTTTCCTTCTTATTTTCAATCCCCGCTTTTTTGTCCCTCATTTTTTAATATTTTAATTCCCCTCTCAGGAAACTGGGATGGTCACCAAAAAGTAAATTTATTGATTTTAATTAAAATGAAACTTATGTAACTACTTATTGTATGTCGTGATACTTTTAAGCATTTTGTTTTATTTTTTCATCATAATAGCATACAGTTGATAAAAGCCCAAAATCCAATTTCTATGAAAAGTTGTAAATTAAATAAAATAATTAAAATAGTGTTATTACAGAAATATTAACCTGCTCTGTGCTGTTTGTTATAGTTTAGCTCAGTTAATACGGTGCTAAGTCATGTTGCAAAAAGAAATTAGCATCTTTATAAACCTGGAAAAATTTCCAGGTTTATGTTTGTTTTGATTTTAAGCCAACATGGCTAAATGGATTTTGCTTCACGGCTATAATTAGTTACTCCTGTTGCTGGTTTACCTTTTTTCCCCCAACTTTCTATTGAGATGATTGCAGGTATTCTGTGAATAGTCCAATTGTTTTACAGCTTCTTGACTTGATACCAGCAAATAATATGGCAAACATTTCCATCACCGACTCTGGAAACATCACACCTCAAACATCTTGGGACTCTCTTGTTCCTCCAGACTCTGCAACCTTAATTTCCAAATCAAAAGTTCAAGCAAGACATTTCAGACATTGTAATGGCTTCGGGAGTAGATGACTTCAAACATTGCGAGCCCAGTCTGTGTGGCGACTTTCAAGCACTAACCCCAGCTGCAGTTTGGACCTTGTGAATCCCCACTGAAACTTTTAAATGCGTTTGGCTTCGCAACCCTTTCAAGGCTCTGATTACCCCTAACGCATGTTTGTTTCTCACTTTTTCCTTCCACTTAACCTTTCCTTAATGTGCACTCTGTGAATAACCAGCTTTTTCAGCAATAACTTTTTATGTCTTGTGCTCCTTGTGGAAGATGTGATTGACTGTCTGCTGGACAGCTGTCAAGTCGGCAGTGTTTCTCATGATGGCCTAAGCCAAAACTAGGACATAAAATAACATTTCCGTGTTTAAAAAAAAAAAAAAAATGTTTTCATTTGTTCTTGGGTTACTTGCAAGAAACCCAGATTTCAACGAAAAACTGAATTTGGGGTTTTAATTAACTGCAAGCCTCGGCCATCAAAATTAACGCATCACTCAGAGAGTAATTTATCAATTGTACATGTAAAGTAAGTTTCACCTATTGAATATAACTGTTGAAAGAAAGTGTATTTAATGGGTATTGTGGTGTATTTAGAAACACCTGTACATAAAAAAAAAGATAATCTCATAGTGTCCTGAAGCCTTAAGCCAGCTTTGAAATGCAATTGAAACGGTAAGATAACACATCCCTCTCTTTATCATCCTCAGTGGGAGGAGATCAGCGTGATGGATGAGAGGAACACCCCGATGAGGACCTACCAGGTGTGCAGCGTAATGGAGGCCAATCAAAACAACTGGCTGCGGACGCGGCACATCAGCCGGGAGGGAGCGCAGCGAGTCTACATCGAAATCAAATTCACCCTGAGAGACTGCAACAGCCTGCCCGGGGTCTCTGGCACCTGTAAAGAGGTCTGCGTCATTTTTGCACACAGGCAACAAAAGGGGACACCCTGGGAGGTTGATGTATAAGAAACGTCCTGCGTCCTGATCTTCTCGTTTTGTTACTTTTTGTTCCCTCTTGGTGCCCTGAACACATTTTTTTTTTTTTTGTCTTTTATAAAGGCAGAATCAATATCACAGTCAGATCTGAAACAAAGTTAAAAAAAAACATTTGTTAATCTGCCTCTTTGGGCTACTTGAATCAGAGGTTGTTTTTTGTTTTTTTTTCGTAGTAATCTGACTTATTTTTGAAATTTTAAATGTGGGGAAACATTTTATGTTTATGATTGAAACATTTATAAATTGGGAATAAATAATCCCTAAGCACATGCAATGGAAGTTTCAGAGACAAAAGATTTGTTTTTGTTTTTTTATGATGGGAACTGAATTGAGTCCCTAAACGGTAAATAAACATTTAATTCATTATGCTGGATAATTTTTACAACATTTTGCCTTCTTAATTTGTTCGTAGGCAGCGCATTAACATATTTATTCATGTCAGGCTTATGGAGAGTTGACTTGAAATGTTTGTAATTTAATTATCACTTGGATGAAATTAGTGCTTCTCTTGAACGTAACACATTATGCTGCAGAGCAGCAAAAGAGCTTCGTTTCATTTTGTCTGCCTTGTATCTTCAATAAGCACTAAAAACAAACACATACAAGCTGAAGTGCACTTTGACGGATATTGAATAGATAAAGAATTATGAGACAAGAAAAAAAATAACGGATGAAACAAGATACTCCTGAAATTGTACGTGTATTTGAATTTTTTTGTTTTCTTTTTTCACTGTGGTTACTGAGGTGAGAACTTGAAGTAACACTCCCACACAGCTACATGTGCATTACAGTGAAAAAACTCCCAAACATTCAGACAGATGGCAGGAATTTTAACAAATAAACAAATGCCAGTTTATCGCTGGTCAGAGTTTAAAAGTGTGATATTTATCCAACCTGAATATTGACAGATGCTTTTTGTTTTGCAGACTTTCAACATGTACTACTATGAGTCCAACAATGCCAACCTGTGGTTCATCAAGGAAAGCCAGTATGTCAAGATCGACACTATCGCTGCAGATGAGAGCTTCACGCAGGTACGGACACACACACTGACATACCTGGGATGAAATGGCATTTATGAATCAGTTCCAGTGTTATGGTCGACAAATGATAATGTTAACAGTTCTGTTAAAAAAAGTTGGTCATCTTATTACTGATATCTCAGATAATACTCTTCAGATTCAATGTAATGCAAACAAATATATGCATAAACATCTACAATGATTCTTATTTTTGAATTGAACAGATTTTTGTACAATTATATTTTCAAATTTGATGATAAATAAAAGGGAAAGGTTGCATAATGAAACTTGATAAGGTAGGCTTTTGAACAATAGACATTTCTTGAGCAGTAAATAAAATTGGACTTTTAACTTGGGTGCCCTGCTCCATTTAGCTGTGAAATGATCAGCAACTCGGTAGAGGTGAACTGTTTTTCTTTGAGGTGTGATTTGACTGCTCTTGTTTTGGCCAATGAAGTTAGTATGATCTCATTCGATAAATTGAAAATTCACAGAGCAAGACATTTTGTGGACAATTTCAAGTTGACTTCCAACTTGCTTGTACTCATCCTTGAAAAAACTACACATCTTACATAAATTGAAAAATTCCCATTCGAGAAAATGGTTCAGGTGAAATAAAAGTCTGCTTGCTGCTTTATTACATTATCCTCAAATTATGGGACAGAGCAATCCATCAAAAATAAGAACCCAGCTAGAATTACATTATATTACTCCTTTACAAGACAATGCTGAAGCTCTTATTTGCACCTCAGTATGTAGAAGAGTGCAGAACTACAATTTATCACATTTATCATAATTTTTTTCATGGGTTAGTTTATTATGAATCTTTTGTCATGACTGATTATTTATTTGGGCCTGAAGGTAACAGTTCACTGAGGAGATAATTGAATATTACATATTTCAGAATCAAAGCAAAACTAATTTCAAGTTTGATATTTTAATCTATATTTTCTTTCTTATTTTATTGTTTAAAATGATTAATAGGATTAGTGACATTAGCATTAGCAAACAGGAGCCTCACCTTAATTGTAAAATTTCCAAGACTGCCAACATTACCTTATCACGCGTCACCCATGAAAGAATTTGTTTCAAAACGATGAGACGGCGCATCTTTGCTGCAGTATTTTCAGCTTCATTTTGGAGATCGTTCTTGTTTAAAGTAGCTTCCTGAATGAACTGGAAATACGCTTTCCCCTTAAATGGCTTCTTATATGTTTCGATTATTTTTAAACACCTCGATAACACAGAAAAAAGCTGAATGCAACTTTTGTCAGGTAAAACGTCTACACCTAAGAGTGTAGATTTCACACAACCTGTTTCAGTCGTAACTGATGGTAAAAAAAATAAATACGTTTTTTAGTTTGCAAACCTCTGTTCACTGATCGCAGCCAGTAAAGTCTCCCATTTCCAGTCACCAGTTGATTTCGTGGTGCATCAGTGAAGCTAAATGTTACAAATGCTCATTGTAAACGAAAAAACAGTCATCTTTGTTAAGTAGCCAGTTGATTGTTGCTCGTTTGCCTAGTTGTGGCTATGCCCTAACCTCAGACGTCTTTCAAAGAAACTAACAGAAAATGCATTGTTCATTCGCAGGTGGACGTTGGTGACCGAGTCTTGAAGCTGAACACAGAAGTGCGAGACATCAGCAACTTGAGTAAAAAGGGTTTCTACCTGGCCTTCCAAGACCTGGGTGCTTGTATCGCTCTGGTCTCAGTCAGGGTCTTCTACAAGAAGTGTCCTCTGACTGTGCGCAACCTGGCCCAGTTCCCCGACACAATAACGGGAGGAGAAACGGCGCTGGTGGAGGTCCATGGAGTTTGTGTAAATGCCTCTGAGGAATTTGAGCCGCCCAAGATGTACTGCAGCGCAGACGGAGGCTGGCTGGTCCCCATAGGGAGATGCGTGTGCAAACCAGGCTTTGAGGAGAACAAGGACATCTGCCAACGTGAGTCGGGTGGGGACGGCGAGGATTGAGTGGAATCGAAGTCGATGATAAATATGTGTGTCTTAGAAAAAAGTGACATAAATTAAACAATGGAGACGTAACAGATATGTTTGATTGCTGGAAAGTCACATCTTTTGTCAAAGTAAGTTTGCCGAATATGCTGTCTGAGGTGGTATAAGCAAAGGAATCCTCATAAACATGTCGTGGTGTCACCAAGTCAGTCAAAGTTAAGGAAATATTTAAGAGTAGATCCACCAATTAGATTTGTGGGCAAATTCTGATCTCCAAAGTTTTGACCTGCTGATAAAGTTTTTTTTAGCTTGTTGCAGTTTTTCCTTAAGAACTATAATACACAAACATATATCGATAGCATTAAACTCTTCCTAACATCATTTACAGGAGCATTTTATGCTTTTTAAAGGAAGATAAAATGGTCACTGATTAGAGTAGCTAGCAAATCAAGGATTACATGTATCATGGATTAATAGTGCGTGTTGCATGGAGAGAATGTAGATTCCTTTCAGAAGGTTACCAACATTTATAGATCCAACATGATCCAACGTCTGCCTTCTGAGTTAAACAATTAACCCAGAAGGGAGACGATGATACTTTGTGAGTCATCACTCCTAACAAAGCACAGACAGCAAATAGAGAGGAACAGGTAGGGATTTCTTTAAAGCACAATGTCTTTTTTGTGTGTATTCCCCTTTTTTGTGATATTCCCCTTATCAAAGGGGGATATCTGATGTTCATGGAGAAGAGTCGCATGTGTGTGTCTTAGCATTTCTCACCTTGTAAGGCCCAGTTTTTATAACAGTCGCTGATGTTGTGACAACCCACTGCTCCTTATGGGGCTCACAGCCTGGGCCCCATAAGATGAAGTGCTGCTATGGGGTTAGGGATTGGGTTTAGGACTACGGTGTGCAATGAGTTTAGGTTAGGTTTAGGGTTAGACATGTACTGGTGATGGTTAGGTTTAGGGTGAGGGTCAGCATTAGATTACAGAAATGAATGAAAAGTGAATGGAAGTCAATGCAAAGTCTTTGTAAATACAGAAATACACTATGTGTGTGTGTGTGTGTGTGAGAGCGAGAGAATAAGGCAGTGCTCATTGATGTGTGCTGTGGAGAGAAAAGGTATGCCTTGTGGAGGAAGATTATTGAGTTGTAAAGCTCTCTCAAATGGTGTGTGTGGTGCATGAGTGCGAGCTAGCATGTGTGCACACTGTGCATGCGTGCATTTTGAATTGAGGAAACCGCATTATGCTCATGCTGTCACCTATCCCCAAGGACTCACTTCCTTGGGAAAATTGGAGCACAGATATTCATCTCAACAGAGTAGAAATGGGTGCACACGATGCAATTTCACTTGTTTTGGAGAAGCAGCCGCCAAGACACTCAGAAAGTTGGCAGTTGGTCCTTAGAGACAAGTGAATAAGAACAAAATGTGCTCTGCAGTTTGCAGACTGGTAATGTGCACAGATCGTGGCAGAATGCTGGCTGCATCTCAATCATGAGACACAGACTGCTGAGTTGTCTGCCTGTCTGTCTGCCGTGGTTATATCACAGGTGATCTCACTGACAGCTTTTCAAATGATTTCACTCTCCTCGGTGTGCTAGTCTATGTCACTTTCTACATTTTTGGGACTAAGATGCAGCTTTATGGTGTGAAACGGTTGACCTCCGTGAAGTCATCACTTGGGTCCTTTAGCGTTATCACTCCAAAAGAGAATAGAGCGAGATTTAACAAGCTTGCTTTTTGACCCAGTGGCAAAAGGCTAGTTTATATTTCTGTGCTTGATTGACTTGAAATGATGCAGTCTTATTGACACTGAGGTCAGAGGTCAGAAAATATATGTGGCCCTTGTCTACTGAGTTACGGAAAGGCTGACCCATGGGGGTGAAGGTCCTTCAAGACGAGTGAAGTGCTCTTGTCTATCATTATGAGTAAAGAGCTAAGCTAAAAAGCAAAGCTCTCAATTTAATAGAAATGTTATTTTCAAACTTTCACCAACGGTTGTAAAAAGTGAAAAATCTGGATACAAGCAGCCGAAATAAGGGGCCAAACTAAGACTTGGAGATAAGATGAGAAATTCTGCCATCATTCTGTTGCTCTGCTTCATCTGAAAATAGCAATAGATCCTATTTAGACCCCTCCTGGGCAAGTGTGGAAATATATATCACTTATGGCCTGCACCAGTCTGGGAACCTGCAATGACTTGAATAATGTTGCATGTGAGATGGACACAAATTCCCTGCTCTGATGACCAAATGACTTATCCTAAGCTTAACGCCTTACTTTGAGATCTTTGCAGATAGATTATGTGTCGTTTGTTTTTCTGTGCACCATCCTGAACTGGAGGAGTGGGCTTACCTTTGCACACGCACCGACCCAAAAATAACGTTGGGTGTGAACCAGGGGCGGTTTCGTATCGTGCCACCTTAGAGTGGATTTAGGTCTGAGAAAGGTGTTGGGATTTCGCAGCTGTGCTACTGTTGACGTATTTGGTTTTTATTTACTGGAGAACATCTGCACAGAACTGCAGTTTCACCACCACAAAGCAAGAGAATTACGTACCCCGCATATGTCAGCAAATCAAATCCCATGGGGTTTTTCTTGCTCATAAAATAATGCCACACAATTTCGTTTATCCTGAATAACAATGGTGCTTGTGCTGGGTTTATTTTTTTTTCAAACCATACAAATGTTTCTATTTTTGTGGGGGGTTTTCTTCTCCCCCACCTCTTTTTCTTGTCAAAACTCACTTAGCCAGCTAATGTAACTGCATCCATAATCAGCCTTTTTTTTTTTTACAAGCGGATTCATAAAAGACATAAGAGGGTGCAGAGCAGTAAGGCAGCTTGGTGCGTTGCTCTTTAATGTGTCCCTGTGAGAACGAAGCTTGCACTTCTAAAGAGCTCCTCTCCAGCGCTCTGCATCGGCTCCGAACAAAAGGTTCCTGCCCCGACACAATCTGGAGGTCTACCATGGGGACGACACGTGCCACTAATGCATTCAAATGATCCTCTCTGGTTTGCTTTCACACAAAGGGGTGAGTGTGGGAGAGAGGAACACAGAAAGGCCTGGAGTTTCATTTGTATAATCAACGTGGAGGTGAGCGAGCCACTTAATGGAGCGCCCGAGTTTTCTCCCTCTTGTTCTTCTGTGTGGGTCCAGGTTTCCTTCCTCTCCATCACTTCCCTACTCCAATACCCAGCATTGTCTTCAGATGTTCTTTGTGAATCTTGATCTGTCAGCGTGCCTCTCATTCACACCCCGTCTCTTCCACTCTCTGCGTCTCTCCCTCTGTTTCCCTGTCTTGGTCTGAAGCACTAATGGAATCATTACTGGCCTTACTGTGTTAGACAAACACCAGACACCTCCTATTATGGCCCTTTTTCCCCCCAAATCTCCTGCTCTTTCCCCTTTCTGTCTGTTGCTCTCTGGCTATGCTCTGATGTCTGCTTCTATAATTAGACCATTCTCCACTTCTTGCTCTCTGCCAGCCACCCATTTTGCTTCTCACTCATCTTCTCTGGCACCGTCTTCCTTTTTCACCTCGCCATTCCTCTCTCTGTCCCTGTTCTCCTTCTTCAAGCACGCCTTATCTTCACCGCCTGCTCTCGTTAAACATTTATAGATCACGGGTTCATCTTTCTCCTTTTGTCTTTTCCAACCCAATGTTTCATAATCCCTTTAAGGGAAGCGTGCATAAATGAGTGTGTGTCGATGGGATGAATTGGTCGCACGGACACAGATGAAAACCCCACAAACTGGCTCGCTCTTTGTCGTGTAAACAGATGAAGAATCATCGGACTGAAATGGGCAGAAGCAGAGTTTGTTGAAAGTGCTGTCCTAGATTGCAGTAGAAATGGTCATTTTAATCATCATATAATTCAAATTCGTCTCTGTTTAGGGCGATAATGGCTGTAAAGTGGTGCTTTTGTCACACTCGCCTGGTTTTTATCAAAAAGTTATCACTGAAATAATAAAATAAATAGTCGGAACAACTGCAACATGCAATTTATAAGTGGTGATTTCAAAATTGAGGAGAAAAAGCTGTCCAAATAATCTGGCACTGTGCTACAAAGTAATTACCCCTTACACCTATTACCCCTTACTTTTATAAAAGGATATCTCGTTGAACTTGTGCCAACCATGTTGGCGGCGACGGCTGTCAAGCATTTGCAAAAACTGTAAATGAATCTCTCGCATCACTGTTGATCGATTTAGGTCCACTCCTCTTTGCAGAATTGTTTTAGTTCAGTCACAGTGATGGGCTTTTCAAGCATGAATGTCCTGCCACAATATCGCAATTGGATTTAAATGCTATTGTCTTGTTAATGTTAGCCATTCAAAGATGCGCCTGTCGGTGACCTTTCAATCATTGTCTTGGTGCCTTACCCAAGTACACTCTGGAGCGTAAGGTCACAAATAAATGACTTGATCTTGTCTTTCAGGATTTCTGATACTATTTCTAAAAATGCTGTCTTAGTTTTGCACCAAATATAACGTTTCACAAACCTCCTGAAAAGTTTCACTTTTCTCTCTGTAATGCAGATAATGTTTTCTAGAAAACCATGTTTTTTGGCTTGTATTGGATGTTTGTTTTTTTTTATGCTCTTTTATTTTAGATTCAGGAATAGATTTGCCATTGAACTCTCCCACATATACAGTTTGTTGTCTTGTCTGCATGCTTTTGCTGAATTATCAACAATGATCCCAATGATTCTATCTGAAGCAGTGAAGACCTCACCCACTCACAATGGTGAGCCATCATGGCCTTCAGGCCATTCAGGAAAGACTTTAACTTGTTCCAGAAGCAAAAACTAACAACACACAAATACCAATAAATATAAAATCATGATCCTTTGAAACATCTTGTTTAAAATAAATCAAAATGATTAATTCTCTATGAAATAAAGTGACCTTGATTACAAGTTTTCTATCAGAGATCTGCAGCTTGAAGTATATATTTTTTTTATTAAAGACCATAAGCC